TGGGGCGGCTGGTGCTGCGGCTGCGGCTGCGGCTGGGGCTGCGGAGGCTGCGGCTGGGGCGGCTGCTGGGGCTGTTGTGGCTGTTGCCAGGCGGTGACGTTGCCTAGCGACAGCCCCCCAGGCGAACTGAAGGCTGGTAAGGAGGAGAGCTCTGCACTGGTCAACTGGTAATCTGCGTGGGGAAGGGGAAAAGCGAGGATGAACCTCCTGCCATGGGAGAGGGAGGACCGAGGCTCCCACAGCGAGCCGCCTCCACGAGGACTGTCAAGATGGGGAAGCTGTTAATGACAGATGTGAATAATTAAATAAAACCATACAAATTCAGTGAAGATGGCACTGAAAGAAACACAAGTCTTAATAACTACGAGGTGCTGTTTTTTAACAGGATGTAAAGAGAGGCGGTTTTTTAAAAAGTGTTTAACTTTTTTTTTAAAGCCATGTGTAGGTATCACTTTTAGAACATCAATTTAAAAAAAGAAGAGGGGAAAAGGTAGATACAGAAGGTCTAATATATGTCTAACTGTCGTCTCTTCAACTGCCAAGTCTTCAAATGCCTTTCTGAGATGGAGGGGAGTCATGAGGAACACTAGGTGAACGGCTCACCGGAACTACCATTCCACCTTCCGCAAAGTCCCCAAGTCTCCTAAAGACTGCCAACACATAAAACAGGTAGCAGCAAGGGTTCGAGTTGCCCCCCCACGCCTACCCCAGAGGGCCTGCGAGAGCAGAGGCCTGCGTACAGCTGGGCGAGCTGCTGGCAGATTTCCCCATGAGGTGGCGCTTGCTGTTTTCTAAAATTTCTGTCTTAGTGAAGAAACAGTGATGTTTGTACTGTCATAGAACAAACAGAACCATGAAATGTTTCACAATTTACACAGCTCTGTTGTTTCATGCTGCATCCTGTTTGGGACAGTTCAGAAAATGTCTTCCCTGAGGAACACAGGCCGCCCGCACCACAGTGTGAGGAGGGCCGGCCGGCCCAGCACCACAGCAGCAGATCTCACTCAAGGGGGCGCCTGCCCCTCTGTCTTTATGCAGGGGAGACAGGATTATCTGTGCAACAGAACAGTAAAGTTAAGGGGATGAGCAATGGGGTCACACTTCCTGGCCACCTCCACTTACAGGCCATGTGACCTTGGGCGAGCTGCTTACTCTCTGTCTATAAACTGGAGCCACTAATCCTGCCTGCATCACACAGCTGTTGTGAGGACTGAGTGAGTTAATACACAGGAGTATGTAGAACAGTGTCTGGCACAGAGTAAATATTCAAAAGATTTACCTGCTGTTATTCTTAATGTACAAATGAGGGGGAAAATGCAGCCTCAAGTTTGAGGAATTCACCCCAGGTCACAGAGAAAGCCTCTGGCAGAGCTAAGACAAGACCCCAGGCCTCTTTATTACCTTTCAGTCTCACCCTACAGATGGCCCAGAGTTGCCTCTGGTCTCGTAACAATGTTAGCCAGAAGCTTTGAGATACTTACATTTAAAAAGCAGACCAAGGGCAGACAGGGACCTCTGGGACTAACTATTTACAACACTCATAAACAAGGGAGCCAACCCAGAATGGTGCAGTGCCCTGACTGAAGTCCTTCAGCCCCCAGTGAATGGTAGAGATTCAGCCCCCAGGCCTGCACTTTCCCGCCACTCTCCAGCCCTGTCTACCTGGAAGCCTGGCTCCCTGGCAGCCTTGCTTCCTCCTAGACAGAGAAGTATGGCCCACAGGCCGCCTGGCAGCCCCCTCAGCCTGCTCCTAGAACAACCACAGCCAGACCTCTGCAGCCAGTGTCAACAAGGGGCCAGGCCTGCCCCTTACCCATGACATTCCCATAGACAGATCACCCCCACCCAGAAATCGAACTGGGGCCAAGGACTGTAAATAGTGAACAACTAAACAACAATGTGTTCACTGGGGTTTTGTTTATATATGGAGGGTCACCTGAAAACACCTGCTGTTTAAACTGAGGTCTGCTGAACTACCCCTGCAGCAAGAGGAACTAGAGCCCATGGTTTCTGAGAGGATGTGAGAAAGCCCACACACTTCCCCGCAGGGCTCCAAGGCCAGGCCCAGGGTCAGAATCTGCTTTTACACCAGACTGACACAGTCTAAAGTCTGGCCTTGCTGAGTGCCTGTCCCAGGTTCACTGACACTGCCTAACCTCCCTCCTGCTTCAGAGACTGATGGGAGACCTGAGAAGATGGCAGAAAACCACCACCATGGGATGCCCAAATAAACAACAGCTCCTGAAAAGTGGTCTGCGCTGCCCTCTGCCAAACGCCCCACCGGCCCTCAGGGAGCCAGCTTTCCTAGCCAGGCCCCAGAGCCCCACCTGGCAGAACTGGAAGGGCCTCAGAGCCTTCCTGTCTACCCACAGCTCTTACAGATGAGAACTCTTACACAGGTGCAGCCATCTGAGGCGGTCTTCTCTGAAGCTGCCTAAGGACATGGTAACCTGGCAGTGGGTACACGCATGGGAGCACACACAAGGGACAAGGGACTCTACAGACACCTGGGTGATAAAATCTGGACACCGACACACATGCCAGAGTCTGGCCCCTTGACACGAGGCAGTTCCTCCAGCCCTTACCTGCACAGAGAGGCTTTCCTACACACAGGACTGGGTTCTGGGTTTTCACACACAGGGAAGTAGTGGGATTTTGTGGACATTTATACTGGTGTCTGGGACCTAGCATGGTTCAATTCTGGAATAGGGGCTTAGGCAGTGGGGAGAAGTTGAGGGGTCTTTTGGTCTAGCCTGGTCTCACCAAGAACAGCCCTGATGCAAGCCATTCACAGGTAAGAGAAACTGGGGAATGTCAGAGGCCTCTTCAGTGGGCAATAGACAAGGTTCCTAGCCACATAAATGCTCTGAAACAAGGTGACATGGCATTTCTCCACTGGGAAGTCCTTCCTGACACCGTAGCTTAGAATGCAGGCAAGGATGGCTGAGAGTGTCACAGGCTGTTCCTGGGAGGGTGTGAGTGGGTGACAGAGGCCAGGACAGCCCTGGGAACCCAGGACAACCCAAGCACTGGGTGTCCTTTCTCAATTCTTCTACCCAGAGACCTCTCGCATGTCTCCAAGTGAGTCTTCACCTTCAGATCCTCCTCCCCCACCTTCATCAGACTCCCTCCTCCACCCTGCCTTGGAGCCCCTACTTGGCTTCCCAGGAAACTGGATAACTCTTCCCAACCATGCCTCCTCTTGGGCCTCCTCAGCTTATCCTTCTCTCTCAGCCCTCATACCTCTCCTCTAGGAAGCCCTGCTGACCTGAGCATGCTCCCCTCCCCACTCCCCAACCCTGGTTGTCCTGAACCATCCAGCTGCTCCAGCCACCTCAAACAGGAAGCTCCCCAGGAACAGGGCCTTCTTCTCCATTAGGTCCCATTATGAAAAATAAGGGATACCCATACTCACTTAAGTTTGAATTTCAGACAAAACAATGCATAACTTTTTTAGCATAAGTGTATCTTTGAGACATACTAAAAAACAATTACTCGTTTTGTCTGAAATTCAAATTTAAGCAGGAATTCTATGTTAGTATTTGCTAAATAAATGGCAACTTTAACTAGAAGAGAGCTCCGCCAAATTAATGGCCTTCCTCAGACTGGGGCATCCCCCAGGGAATATCTCATGTTCTCTCTCTGGTCCCTCACCTGACCCAAGGCCAACTGCACACAACCACGTCACATGAGAACTTACCTGTGTTGTAGGCGGTGGGCATGGAAGAGAAGGGGAGGCCCTGGCTGAGTAAACTTGGTGTTGCCACGGAAACCACTGGGGTGGTGAGCGAGTGGGTAGACTGGGAGACCCCAAGGCGTTGGGCATTATTCTACAGGAGAAAACAGTCTGTCAAGAGGTAGAAGATGGATGGGCTGCTTTATCCCGGCCTCCCATTCCAAGGACAAGCTGGGGTCCCTGAAACCCAAGGCCCAGATGGGACGCCTCAGCATGGAGGCCCCCGTAGATACACAAACACACTGATGCACTCAGACATACTGAGATCCACAGAGAGAACATGCACACAAAGACTCACTCACACCTACACACATGCAGAGAGGAAAGTACATATGCTGGCCCTGTGGCCCCAAATCAACGATGAGTCCATCTCCATTCTTCTCCTGGCTGGTCCCTCTAGAGGCCACCCTCCAACCGTCACACGGCAGCACACGCCCTGGTAGAAGCGTGCTGGCATCTGTGAGGGGAATGCGGGGCCTGGCGTGGCGTGTGCCTGCGTGTATGCACACACGTGTGTGGGGCTGTCAGCTCCATCTGCTGCTGAGTCACTTGTTTATTCCAACTCCACGCTGGGGCCGAAACTGCCGCTGTGTTGGCCGCCAAAGCCTGATTGCCTTTTCCAGCCTCTCTGGCCTCCCATCAGGGAGTTGGGGAGGGAGGAGCCCCCGCCCCACTCCTGGCTGAAGGTGAGTATATAAGTGTGTGCATGTGTGAGAAAGAGCGGCTGTAGATGCCTCTGGTGCCTGTGAGATGTGCTGTGTGCAGGAGGGAGCAGAAGGAGTCAGAGGGAGATGGGGAAGCCCCTGAACAAGGACAATTCTGGCCTTGCCTTGGGCCTCAGCTTCCCCTGGAAAACTGAGTTTCCTGTCTGGCTGGCACCCCTCCTAAGGAGGTCCCTGTCCGGGGTGTGCCTGAGTAGAGACAGAGGGCAAGTGCAGTGCAACCCCTGGTCCCAAGGCCTAATCCAAGCATCCTGGGACACATCGAGATGGGACCTCGGAGGCCTGGGGCAGGCCCACTCCCCTTGCACACACACATACACAGATAAAGGTCTGTCTGCATGAACTCAACATCACACGAAGACATCCATGGACACCCAGGTACACACACATGCATGTCCAAACCCTCACCCCCTGCCCCGTTCCCCTCTGTATCCCACTTGGCACTGAACACAGCTCCTGGCAGACCAACAAATAAACAAACAACACACACAGGCGAAAGGACAAAGGCACACACACACTTCATGCTGGGGGACAGCAGAGCAATGGGCTGACCCAGAATTCAAAGCCACAGCAAACATCTCATAGCCTCACTTACCAGATCTAAATGGTCCTCAGTCTGAGAGCAGAAATAAAACCAAGGGGATGGTTCAGTCTCTGGCCTCCACTCTCCCTTCACACCCCTGCGCCCACAGCCATCCCATCTATCCCTGTATCAGAGTAGGATGGCTCTCCAGCCTAGGACAGAGCTCTTCACTGTCCTTACTCATTTCCAGAAGATGCTATGTCCCAATGCCCACCAGTTAGAAAACCCTCACAGTCTACGCCTCACCCCTCTGCTGTAATGGCAAATCCCTCCTATCATTCTATCATCATCACAGAACCTTCTCTCCCACCCCTGTTCCTTTCACTGCCCTTGAGGCTGGTACTTCGGTGTTCCAACCTCTTGTAAGGCCCTTTGGGAGGGAAGAGCTCATGAATAGCCATGATTCCATGGTCTCTCTCAGGAAGTCTTAATTGCTGGTTTACTTCCATCTCTCCTGTTAGAAGCTAGCTCTTTCCTCCCTCCCCACTTCCCCACTCCCTAGCCCCGGCCCCTCAATCCAGACACCCACTCACCAAGTGATGCATTAACCCCTTTCCTCCCTGGGAAGTGATGACCCTCAGGTCAGGCTTGCGGCTGGGGGCTCCAAGCTGGGCGCTGTGGGTGGGCGGGGGTGGAGACTTGGCAGGGATGACCTTGTTTAGGCTGTTGCCATTGGCCACAGGGAGGAGGCCAGGGGAAGCCCGAGCACTGACATAGCCATTCCCTGGAGAGGTAAAGAGATGAAGGGAAAAGGGAAAACAGACCACCAATGAGCCCTAGTAACTGCCCCATACCAGTACTCCTGTCACACAGAACTTCTCAAAATCATGCTTAGGCTTTGAGTAAGTGCTGAGGTCTCTAATTTCCCCCTAAAACCACCGTGTCTTGGAAGTAAGGGAGAATATCCCTTACTCCCCAATCAGCAGGTTCATCTCCCTGCCTCTAAGCCATATGTGATGGGGCTGGGTGGCAGGAGCTGGTGTCCAACAATAAGAAGTCCAGCACCTGCCCCTGACTGGGCCCCCAGTGACCCAGCCTGGTAAAGGGTGGCAGCCTAGAAGCTGAGTCTCAGTGAGGATCCTGGTCACACCGCAAATCAACCACTCATATCACCTTCACCTTGAGCTGGGGATGCTGTGATTTGGATGAGCACATGACAAGATGCCTATAGTTCTGAGAAAGATGAACCACTTACTCGTGGTAGTGGTGTTACTGGCACGGGGGGACTGATGACAAAGCCACTACCATAATTAGACTGGTAGTAACAAGCAGGATAATCATCTTTCACATCTGTTCCACACTCCATAACCAACACTGGGCCTTCACATGCGTACGGCCTTATTTAATCCTCACACTAACCCTGCAAGACGGACAGGACATATGTAGTTAGCCCTATTGACAGAAGAGGAAACAAGGCCTGGCTGGCAGAGGTGTGATGACTTACCCAGGCCCACACAACCACATTCTCCATGCTGGGCTTGAGGGCCTATAAGTATCACTATTTCCTTAAGGTCTTAGGCATTTCTCTGGCCCTTTCCTTCGAGAGGGAGGTGTATTCACCCATTGCCCCACCTTCCTGCCCCCATATGCAACTACTGCCAAGGACGCAGTGCAAGGTGCCCAGGCCAAGCTGGGGAATTCTAAAGCCCAGAGATGTAGGGGTGACCACAGTCAGTAGTATCACCTTGCTCTGTCCCCTGAGAGCACACTGCTGCCCTGGAAGTGTGTGGCTGCCTCCATCCCAATTCCCAGATCACTCTGGGAATGGCAAGAATGTCAGGGTGACGTCAATGGTGACATTCGAAGTCAGAGTCACCAGCCGGACAACGGCGCAGGGAAAGAGGGACTGTCAGCTCTGCTGGGGGTGGGGGAACATGAGGAAGCAGCCTTTCTTCTGTGGCTCATAGACGGGTGCTCACCAGTACATATTTAATGTCTGGGTTATTTCCATAAGGGTGAGAACGTCTGTGTGTGTGAGTCTGTGCCTCTTGTCTGTCAGCAACGCCAGATATTTGGATCCTCCAGATCTTAACCACACACCCCCACTCAGCTGGAAAAATCTGGATCTTCTTCTCCAACTAGAAATGTCGGTCAATTCTCATAATTTGCCCAGAATTCCCTGAGCCTACATCTTTGCTGATCATCTACATCAATCACTGCTACAGACAAAAAAAATCAAGGGGCTTAAAGAAATCTTCAGACTGTATAGCCAACTCAGGCCCTAGGATCTTCCTCCCCTCTAGTCTAGGTCCCTCTTGGTCCCTGGACCCGAGGCCACCGAGAAGGCAGACCCTGGCCCACCTCCAGGCAGAAGGGTAGCTGCACTCACCAACAGGGCTGGGGCAGGCTCCATTAGCACTGTTGAGGTCTCCCCCCAGCATGGCCCCTGGAGGAAAAAGAGAACCATGAGCTGACAGAACACCCCCTTCCAGAGTGAGTCCTGGGGACTGAACAGGCAGGGGAGTCACAGTCCCTTCCCTCAGAAGCCACATAATTGGGAGAATGCTGTGGTGGCTGAAGGGAAACAGTCACCAGCCCACTTACCTGCACTGGCTGGCCGCTGGGGCAGGCCGGGAGACACACTGTTCCTCTGTAGTGCTGGCTGCTGGGGGGACAGGAGCCGTGGGTCCGTGAGGGATGACGTCACCAGGGAAGGGGTGACCAGGGAACCGCTGGGATTGCTGAACTGCAGTGAGCTCTGATTGGACACGGGCACCGTGACAGGCATGGCAAAGTTGGGGGCCGGGACAGCTGACTAGACAGAAAATGGAGAAGCAAGGTCAGGCCAGGGTGACCCCTTACCCTGGACGCACTCCACCTGGGAGCACAGGCCAGGGTTCCTCTAGTCTCTGGGCTGGGCATCCTAGGGCCAGCAGCTCGGGCTTTCTGCCCTGGGCCCTCATGGGGTCATGCCTATCACTCCCACCAAGAAGTACATTGGTGGGAGTGCTTTGGGATCCAGCTCTGGCCCAGAAGGCTCTGCTCACTGAAGACAGACCCAGGGACACCTGGAACCCCCCTAGAGGAGGTGGGTTAGTCCTCAGCCAGGCAGGACACACAGGGAGCAAGTTAGAGGCCCTGGATACAGACCCAAACTCACACACACAGCTGTTAAAGGCGTGCGCATGGGTCAGGGCGTCACCTGGCTTGTTTCTCACCCGTCTGGCCTGCTGCAGAAGGCGCTCACCCCGCCTCACTGCCTTCACCTGCAGCAGTCTCTGCCTCCCCTCATCAGTGCTAGCAAGTCTCCTCGGCTGGGGGTGCCAGAGCAGGCCCAAGGGGACTCTCCCCCAAAAAGACCTGGACCAGAGCACATTCTCTACTTTCCTGTTGTCTAAGGAGCTCACATCATCTACACACTTCTTGCTGGTGAAGGGAACACTCCAGGCCTTTCCCGGCTTATGCTCTATCCAAGATGAGTCTCAGCAAGTGTCTCGGGTTTATCATGACCAAGGTCAGAGGTTCCTCAGTGGTCACCAACAGCCCCAGCATGGCTTGAGCGGAACACCCATCAGAGGCAGCCGAGGGCCGGGGCAGGGCGCGAAGCCACACCATGCACCACAGGGAGGCTCTCCTCCATGCGACTACTCACGGCCAGTCTATAACTCTGCATCATTTTATCAAACTCCTCGTCTATCTTTTTATATTTCTCTTCCGTCTGGGGGGTCAGGGCAAACACCTCGTCCACCTCAGGGCTCTCACATTCCCTGTGCTTCTTGTGCAGCGCCTGGGGGGAAGGGGCCGGAAGGGGGGGCCAACAGAGAGAGAGTGAGTGGGGCTCACCCCGTAGCGCCGGAAGAGCCCGTCCAGCTCCTCGCTGGCGCGCCGGTACTTGTCCTCCAGCAGGGGGCTCTGTTCCAGCGAGTCCTCCCCGTCGGGCTCTGGGCTGTCGCAGCCATTGAAGCCCTTCTTCCTCAGGGTCTGTAACCGCACCACTTCCATCAGCAGGGGTGAGGGTCCTCCCCCACCCGCCTCCCTGATGTTCCTTCCAGCCCTCTCCTAAGGCTCCCCTACTTTCCCCAACCTCCTTCCTCAGGGTTCCCAGCATCTCCCCTGTCCTCTCCCTCAGTGTCGCCCTCCCCTCCTGGGGCACAGTGTGACTGTCGTTGGTGGGGGAGGCATCAGAATACCAGGGTCACGTGGAAGCTGGGCAAAACCCAGGGAATGCACTGGCACAGAGACGCATGCTTCCAAGGTGACAGGTGGGGAGAGGGATTTCTGGGGGATGGGCTGAGGGACTGGTGCCCTAAGCCAGCCCCTGCCTGACCACCCTTAGGTGAGCCCCAGCCAGAAGGCACAGAGCATTCCCCAGGGGAAGGCAGTCAGGGCTGACTTTGCCCAGCTCAATCCCCAGGCTCTGCTTAGAACAAGGGGAGAGAAACAGAAATGGAGAGAGGGAGAAGAGCAAGAGAGAACGGCAAAGCATTTCTTTGCACTTACTGAGTTCCTACTATGTACAAACTTGTAGGCTGTCCTTGCCCAGAGGTCAGAGCTTCTCACATGCATCCACACAAAGTAGGGTATGAACACCTAGTGGGCCTGAGGGACACCCCAAAGCTGCCCTCTCCATGCTCAAAACATCTTCACAGATGCTTTATTCGTCTTTAAAATGAATACATTTCTTTTCTAGTCAATAGTAAATCTGTTTTCTTTAATATAAAAATAAAGGAATTTCCTCTACATCTGGTAGGTTTAAGTCTTGCTCCAGGAAGGCAAGCCTGTGGCTTCCCAGGCACCCTCTTCATCGGCACAGGTCCCATACCCCGAGTTTAAGAAGCAGGAACTGGGCTGGTTCATTCAATTCACCCTTCAAAGCAGGCACTGGCCCTATTTCGTGGAGGTGGGCACCAAGGCTGCCCAAGGCCACATGGCCAGTAAAGGCCAAAGCTGGGTTCCAAGGCCCACGTCCTTTAACAGTTCACAATGTTGGCTCTTTGAAACAGAAAATAGAGCCACAGGGACCCACAAAGGGACAGAGAAAGAGCAGGGGGGATGGAAACAAAGAGGGAGACAGAGAAAGGAAGAGTCAGATGCAGAACCATACCAAAAGATGGAGAAGGAAGGAAAGAGAGAGAATTTGAGACTTCGAAGATAGGGCAAAGGTGTTATGTTGCACCTGACAGCCATGAAGAAAGGGTCTCAGAAATGGGTGGGCAGCCCTATCTGACATCTACCTCACTGCCCCTCCTTCCTTCTTGAGCCCAGGATTTGTGTGAGGATGTGGGTTTGTGTGTGTGTGTGCACAGGTGAGGGGCTTCGAGGGGCAGGTGTACACATGTGTGTGCACGGGTAGCCCTGAAATGCAGGCTGCATAGGCACGTGATGTGCAGCTGCAGGCAGGAATGGGGTCCGTGTGCGTGGGCCCACCTCGATGATGTCAGCGTTGGTGCGGCTCTCATGCGGCTCATTGTACTCCGTGTACTTGAGCAGCACCTTGTCCATGTCCGTGCTGGCGTACTGGAACAGCTTGTTGGAGTGGTTGAAGATGATGAGCGCGATCTCGCAGTCACAGAGCACGCTGAGCTCGTATGCCTTCTTCATCAGCCCAAACTTCCTCTTGGTGAATGTCACCTGTAGGTGGGCAAGTGCGCGGCCAGATCTGGCTCAGTCAAGGCCTTCCCAGGAGCCCCAGCCTACAGGCAGCTGAGCATAGCCCCTTCCTCAAGGTGACACAGCCCTGTTCTCAGGAGCCCCTGATCTAGGGAAGGAACAGGCCAGCATCTCTCTGCTAACACATGGCTAAAACATTGCCCAGAGCCAACTCACTGAAGGCAGAAGATTTAGATGGACAGAACTTCACACCTCTGAGCTGGGGGCTATAAACAGGTCAGGGAAGGAGAACAGAAGGGCTTCCCAGCTCTTCCCTTAGGGCAAGGATTCATCTGGGGAAAGTGAAGTGCCTGGGCGTGGCCAGGGGCTTGCATATTGCACATGATGGGGACACAGGTCTGCCTGGGAGTTCTAGGACATAGGGTTCTAAGAGCTGCAGGGAGATGGGGGTTTCTCTTCTTCCAACTCAGCCCTTGCCCTTCCATAACAGACTCCAGAGACTTCTTCCAGGAAGCCTTCTTGGAGTAGCTGGAAGGAGTGCTCCCTGCCCTCATGCACTCTGTGAGGCTCCAAGAGACCCTCACCTGTCGGTTCCGCTCATCGGTGATTCGCTGGATCTGAATCTTTTTCCTCCCCATCTTCTCCGGGGATCCTCAGTGCTGGGGAGGGGATCGCTGGGTGGCGGGTCTCCGGATGCCTTACACTTTGATCATGAACGACTTCGGACCACCATTCAGTTCATGGTCTGCAGGACACCTTCTACACAGCCTCCTGGGGGGGAGGGTCACAAGAGAACGGGTGAGCCCTGGCAACCCTCAGCCCTGCTCCTTAGGCACGTGGGCCAGGCTAATAGCACCCCTATGAGAGGCTGGCAGCATCTAAGTCCCATGATCAAAATGAGGAAATGGTGATGACCCGAGGTGATGGCATGCCACCTCCAGGCACAAGCTGGAATTCACTCAGGGCCCAGGACTCTGGTCCAGGCTCTTTCCACACCATCACTGTTGTCCTCAGGGTCTAGGTTAGACAGGGAATATACAGGGAGCTCCCTGGCTTCTAAGGGTCTGGGTCTTAGGGAATACCCAACCCTCTCTCTTCTCCCCAGAGCCTACCTGGAGTAGAACACCTGAGCCTGCCAGCTGCCCCACTGGCCTAGGATGGTGGTTCCTGTACAGAGCCTGGTGTACAGAGTGTGCTGAGCGAACACCTGCTCAGGCTGTGAACAGCTAGCACAGGAACGGGGTACCTAGCACCAGAATGGGAGTGTGCTTGCACCCCTGGCTAAGGAACACATCAGAGCGGAGTTCCTTATACCTGATACCTGACTAGTGGAACCCAGGAGCTTGGAGTCCCAAGGGAGGGTCTGGGCTGCAGAACCCCTATCTCCCCTTAACCAGGGCTCCTCCACACCAATCCGTTTTACTCAGTGGGCCTTGCCTAAAATTCTGGTTTGAAGAAAGTATTCTGCTGCTCTAAACAATCAAACAAACAAACAAACTACCCCTCTAGACCAGAGGTCAGCAAATTTTCTCTGTAAAAGGCCAAACAGTAAGTATTTCAGGCCTTGGAGGCTACAAGCTCTCTGTTGTAACTGCTTATCTCTGCCACCGCGGCATGAAAGCACCTGTAGACGACATGTTTAAAAGATCAGTGTGGCTGTGCCCTCAATGAAACTACGTTAACAAGAATGGGCATGGCCAGATCTGGCCTATGGGTCACAGTTTGCCAACTCCTGCCAAACAGTGTAGCTCTAGAGGAATGGGCTATGCCTAGAACCCAAGGCTCAGTCTAAGACCAGTGCTTCCCAACCATATTCAACCTGAAGCATGCAGAGAAAATACAGAACCACTGACATACAGGAAAGAGGCTGCTGGCCACCAGGGGGATGCAGGCACCAGGTGGAGGGGTCCCTGTATCAGTACACCAATAAACCAGTCATGGCTCACTGGCTGAAGAGCTCCAATTCTAGAGCCAGGAAGGAAAATGGCATCCCTGCACTGCACAACATGAAGTTTTGTGGGACAGATGGCAGCCCAGCCTCAGCCAAGGAAGGTGTGGGCAGTGCCTAAACAGGCTGGGTGAGCCCCCAAGGACTGAAGGGCCCAGGATGGAAGTATGAGATGACCCCCAGTGCCCTTCTGGCTCTGTGATTCCAGAGAAGGAATGGTGGGAGATGGTGGAGGGGGCAGTGGGCGTGGGGCCCATGCTTTCTAGAGCCACTCTGACAGGGTCCTGTGAGAAGCCTGGGCCACAGACTCCCAGCCCTCCCTTTCACAGTTCCCTTTCCACGTAGCTCCTGCCAGAGACCTCCCACTGCAGAGTCCACAGGGGTGGGGTCTCACCTCCCACCACCTAACCCAGGGACAGAGGCACCTCCAACTGCAAACCGCCTGCCCAGCCCATTCCCAGTGTGGCTGCTCAGCTTCCCTGAAGCCTTAAAACGTCCGCTCAACTGCAGCCACCAAGGTCCACAGTAGGTGCCAAAAGTTAGCTTTCACATGCTGGCCATAGAGGGAAGGAGAAAGGGGAGGCAGGGGCTCGTGGGCTTGGAAGGAGTCAGGAACATCCCTCCCTACCCTCTCCACTACCAGGACTTTCCCTCAGATGTTCCCTGGCCTAGCTGGAAAGAGAGCTTCTGCTCCACCCAAGTATCTTCAGAAAACAATGTCACTCCTTCCCTACTCCTAGAAGGACCTTCTACCCTTCTTTCTCTCTCCCCAGAGAGGAATCCCAAAACCCTCTTCCTTACCCTCGAGGTGTTCAATGGCCTCCTACTGTCCACCCTCATACATGCCCTAGGAATCACCAACACCAGCAGAGCCAAGCCCGAGTTGGCTGAGTTGACACCTGGCCCAGAACCAGCTCCAGCCACCCCATCCCTTGCCTGTGACCCCAATCTCTGCCAAAGACCCACTGCAAAGGCTCTGGCCCAAGAATTCCAGCTCCCTTGCCTCCCAGTGCAATCCAAAGGCTGTATTTCCAGAGCTGCAGTGGTATGGGCTTGGCAGGGAAGGTGGAGAAGGCACACTGAGGGCGAGGGAGGGCTAAGAAGAAAGCTTTTTAAATGGGATTCTCTGGCCTGGTCTTGAAAACCCCCATCTAGATTGGTAAATGCAGTCACTATTGTCCTCCTCTGACTTACAGGGTCTATCTTCCATCCTGCTCCCATTTTACTATCTTCTTCTCACCACTTTTTGTTCATCAGCAAATCTTTGCTGAGATGTAAACTCCACTAGCTTATGGCCAATGGTTATCTCTTCCTTCAGGGTGGGAGAGATCCCTCTCTTTGCTCTCATAATCCTCAGAAAAGTCATTCTTACAATCTAACTTCATTCTTCTGGTTCTCCCAATTACTGACTCCCAGGGTACTCCTCTTTCTAGCACTTATCAAGACTGTAAATAATTACAAGTCTGTGCCTCTATTTAATGCCTGGCTCCCCTATGAGACTGAAGTTCCATGAGGGCAGAACCACATGTGTCTTCTTCACTGCTCTATCCCCTGTAAGGAGGGGCTCAGGAAGTGTCTGTTGAAAGGAAGAAAGAATTGTTCCATCGCTGTGACCCTGTGAGAAGTCCTTCCTGTGGTCTAACTTCCATCAGTCCTGCTGTCAGACCAGCTCCTCTCATGCCATCCTCTGTGGAGAGAGAATTCTTCCTCTCCCAGCTGTGCCTGCAGCTTGTCTGTTTGGACGCCACCTACCCTCCAACCACCCCTGCCGCTCCAGTCCTCAATCCTCCCCACCCTCGGGTTGGCTGGTACAGAGGGTGAGACTCTAAAGTCTTCTAAGGAGCAGCCCTGAGCACATGGAGATGGAGAGGATGGAGTTGCTTAGGCAACTGTCGCCTGGCAACCAGCTCCCTGGCTGATCTCCTACACCGCCCCCCCCACCCCCGCCTCATGCTGGGGGAGCTGGGATGCGAGAGGGATCAGGGCTGAGAAGACAGGGAAGTCACAGAGACCCACTGAGCATCCTCTGACAGAGGAAAGTCAGGGTTAAAAAGACCAGGCCTCATCTATCCCCAGTCTCTGCCAAGGTAGCCCAAAGAAATTTTTATAATTCCATGTTCCCACAGCCCCTTCCCCATTGTCACTCCTACCTCTGGGCCAACACTGCCAGAGGACGAGATGCCCCTACCCTGGGCAGTCCTTCCTCCTATCTATCCAGGAGCCCTCCTACAAGGCAGGCTCAATCTGTACTAATCCCTTTCCCCTTCTGCTAGCCATTCTACATTGTTGCAGTGTCTTGGAAAGCCCAGGAGACAAGAAGACGAACTCTTCCCTTACTTTGGAAGAAGGGGTGGCTGGGGCCTGGGTGGGCAAATGAACCCTAAACTGACCCCATCCAAGGTATGAAGGCCTATCCTGTCCAAGCTTCCTTCCTACCCAATTAGGGAGATTTTAATGAACACCTGGACCTCCTTAATTAGCCCTCTGCCTAATTACCTAGCCAACTGCCAGGAGCCAGAAGCCTGGGCATCTGTTCTCCAGATGTGAGCCTTTTCTTTCTCGCCTGGCTTGGCCCCATTCCTCTTCTCTTTTCCAGCTTGCTCCTCCTCTAGGAAGCCCTCCCAGATGACCTGGGTTTTGGCTGCTTCTCCTGGAGCCCAAAGGCTTGGAAGGACTTAGGGCTACTATGGAGACAAGGGGTTATCCAGGATGGCCTTCCTGCTCTGATGGCCTCAGGGCCCACTAAATCCTGACCTCAGGCCACAGCTATGACTCCTTGGGCTGGCAGCATCTGTGTCACTGAAAGTACCCCCTCAAAGGCTCTGGCTGTTTCTGATTCTGATTCACCCACTCAAAATAGTGCTGGCAGGACAGGATTGGGCAGGGTGGACCTCCTCAGGGGTGGGGAGTGGAGAAAGGCAGAGTTAGGCCCTTCCTCAATAGAGACAGAAGGAGCAAAGAGGGAGGGAAGATGGCAGCTGGGCTGAGCCCCAGGGAGGCAGGCGCAGACCCACTGTCTGTGGAGAAGGGTGGTTGAAGAGAAGTCTTTGCAAATGTAGAGCAGAGAGGACACAGGGCAGGAGGCTCATCTGACAACACTCTTGACGATGAGAGGCTGAGTGAGGGGACCAGAAGCAGTAGAGGATCCAGAAGGACCCCATGGACAGCCATTTTTCCCAGCTGGGTTATGAACCCAATAGGAACATATGGGTTGTATTTACATGTAAATGAAGTGCGAATAATATATAAAATGTATCCTAAAGGGGGTGTTGGTTTGAGGGGGCAAAGCAGAAGTAACAGGCTCCTGCCTCCCCCAGTGTAACACCTCTGGGTACCTGAGCAATATTCAAACCATTCTCGGGTTTCAGAATGATGCTATCTCAGTTCCTGTGTGAGGGTGGCCTGGGGCCAGTGGGAGGAGTGGGGGGAGCGGTCAGAGAGGCCTCCTGGAGCTGCAGTTGCAACAGAGCTGCCCTTCCTGGGGGAGCTTCAAGAGAAGTATCTGCCAATGGCTGGCCTCAATCTCCTCTCTCCTGCTGTTGTCAGGGGAGTACCTACCTCCCCTTCTCCCCTACACCCTTCCAACCATATCCATACTCTGTCCCAGTGGCCCAGAGGCTCAGAGGAACCGCAGAGCATCTGCTTTCAGAGCTGCCACACCAGTGTAAGTCAAAATGGAGCAGCTGCCCAGAGAGGCTGAGTGAGCAGCCCTCGTCACAGAGCAATGGGCTTCAAACCCTGTTCTCACATACAGTGAGAAAGGCAACTCTCATTAAGCAGGCCCTTCATCCCTTCCTTCCAGGCTGCTCAGGGCTGCAGGCTG